TTATATATATATATATATATAATTGTATTAAAAACCCTAGAGTGAAGAGAAAAAGAGTAGGTGAGGGAGTGGACCTAGTGATGCCTATGTCAAACATTCTGAAGTGCCTACATCTCCGACCGCTCAATCAGACAATCTGGAAAGAAACTGACAGCACGAATGCCACTGACGTCGATTAGCCGCCGCACATCTAATTTCGTCTGCTAACCAAAAGCTGCATCCTTGCATTAAATGTTCAATATGATGTGAGTGACGACTCAGTTCACGTTATGCCGGACATGGTCACGGTTTATTGACTAACCTTTTTTCGTATTCTTGTCCTGTAACATGAGTTACCCATTAAAATTCAACCCAGGGATGACTATCGGTTTAGGGGACTAGTTTTGCTTTATTCAGAAGTTGGTTTTCAAATTCCGCCATTTTCCGAATACCTCAAGTTGTATCGCTGAGAAAGCCATGTATAATGTTTATTAGTCTCCGTGTCTTTAGACTGATTCAGATAGTCAGTCTCGAGTATTTCTCTACGAGTATCTCACCTTGATCGTACTTCAGATTTGTCTACCGTGGTGAAGCTTTATGCTTCATAGGCCGCTTCGCGACTTGAAGCCTATGAATATTTAGCTGAGCATTACCCAACAGATGTGTGCAGGTTTTCTATTATCTCAATTTGAAGTGTAAATGCTTACATTTAACATCACTCCACGGACTGATTAGTCTGGACCCAGGTTCGGACTCACAAACTTTCTTACCCTAAGTATCAGCTCATCTGAGACGCCAAGCAATAGTCTAACATTTTTGCTAGCAATATTTATTTTCTACACATCAAAATAAATCAACTTTCTAGTTTTGTTTCAATTTCTTATAGTGAAAAATACATCAAGGTTGGCCTAATTTACGATCCAATTTTCACCCCCTTATCTGGCCTGTTGGAATGATGTTCTTGACTAAGATATGCTTTCAAGATTAGCTGATCAGTGACTCATTTGGAGGTGTTAATGGAAACCCTGTCATCGCTATCGGAGCTGATGACGGAACTGCGTTTTCAGCTGGGTTACTACCGAATTCTAAGGAACCAAGCT